CTTATGCGAAGACCAAGTTTTACTTGCAACTTCTTTCAATCACTTTAAAAGTCTCAAATAGATGGCGTATTCTAACATATTCAATGAGTACAAAACAATCGTGAAATATTTGTATAAGGTTAACTAGTCTTATAAAGTTAATATGAACTATATGGTGTTAAAAATTAAAAAAATAACATTTCTATTTAACTTCGTTCAAGTATATATTCTTATTCAAATCTATATTGTATAATAAATATGTATATATATCAAAATATACATTAAATTTAATAATTATTTTAATACATTCAAATAAAAATGTAGGTCAAATAGGTTATTTGTATTACGAAATAAAAAATATATAAATCTTCAATTGTTATCTCTTGAAATTTTCATAAATAAAATAATTACTTTTTATTTATATTTATCTTATATTTTATTTAATGTGGTAGATATATAGTAAAGATAATAAATTCATTGTATAAATTTTATTTTATTTTAATGTAAATTTAACTTAATTACAAAGTATTTGGCATCAAAAAATGTTTTTGATAAATTAAAATTATACAGAAAATTAAAATGAAAATGGATAATAATACCACATAAAACGTGGTTATTTCAGCAGTCTTTTAATGATTATAATGACATTGATATTGTCATTATATTTACATTTATTAATATTAAGTTTAATCTACTTCTTCCATTCGTGAACTATCTTCTGTATCTCCTTCCAGAGGAGGAATTTCTTCTGTAGTTTGTTCTTCTGGTACAGATTCTTCTTCATCAATACCAAGTCCCAATTTAATCATTCTGTAAATTCTTGCAGCATGAACTTGTGGTTCATCTAAAGTAAAACCAGAAGATAAAAGTGCTGTTTCAAACAATAAAATTACTAAATCTTTTACTGCTTTATCATTTTTATCTGTTTCTGCTTTCTGATGTAAAGTTTCAATAATAGTATGGTCAGGATTTATCTCAAGATGTTTTTTTGCAGCCATATATCCCATAGTAGATGTATCTCTAAGTGCTTGAGCTTTCATAATTCTTTCCATATTAGCAGTCCAACCATATTGTGAAGTAACTATACAGCAAGGTGAATCGACCAATCGATTTGAAACTACAACTTTCTCTACTTTATTGTCAAGAATATTTTTCATTACTTTACATAAATTTTCATACTTGGCTTTGTCTTCTTCTCTTTTCTTCTTTTCATCTTCATCTTCAGGAAACTCTAAACCTTCTTTAGTTACAGATACTAATTGTTTTCCATCAAATTCTTTCATTTGTTGTACTACATATTCATCAATAGGTTCTGTCATATAAACAACTTCAAAGCCACGTTTTTTTACACGTTCAACAAATGAACTGTTTGCAACTTGGTCCTTGTTCTCTCCAGTAATGAAGTAAATATGTTTTTGATTCTCTTTCATTCTGCCTACATAATCCTTAAGAGAACATACTTCATCTCCAGAAGCTGAAGTGTGATATCTCAAAAGATCTGACAATTTATTACGATTAGAACTATCCTCATGAATACCTAATTTAATATTTTTGCTAAATTGTTCATAGAATTTTTTATAATTATCTTTGTCTTCTGTAAGTTCTTCAAACAATTCTATGCATTTTTTTACAAGATTTTTACGAATAACTTTTAAAATTTTATTTTGTTGAAGCATTTCACGAGAAATGTTCAAAGGAAGATCTTCACTATCAACTACTCCTTTTATGAAATTTAAATATTCTGGAATTAACTGTTCACAGTTGTCCATAATGAATACTCTTCTTACATATAATTTAATATTATTTTTCCTTTTCTTATTTTCAAATAAATCAAATGGCATACGTTTTGGAATAAAAAGTAAAGCTCTGAATTCTAATTGACCTTCTACAGAAAAATGTTTAACAGCCAAATGATCTTCCCAATCATTTGTCAATGATTTGTAAAATTCACCATATTCTTCTTGTGTAATATCATCAGAATTTCTAGTCCAGATAGGTTTTGTCTTGTTTAATTCTTCATCTTCAGTATATTTTTCTTTGATAGTCTTTTTTTTCTTCTTTTTTCCTTCTTCCTCTGATGGTTCTTCATTTTCATCTACATCTTCAATTTTTGGTTTTCCATCATCTTCCTTTTTCTCTTCCTCTTCTTCAGCTTCATCCTCACTCAGTTCTTTTTCACGTTCTTTCTGCACAAGTAATTTAATTGGATAACCAATAAATTGAGAATGTTTTTTTACAATTTCTTTTATTTTACTCTCTTCTAAATATTCAGTTTGATCTTCTTTCACATGTAAAACAATTTTTGTTCCTCGTCCTAATGTTTCTCCATTATCATGTCTAACAGTAAATGATCCACCAGCACTAGATTCCCATAAATATTGTTCATCATCATTGTGCTTTGAAATAACAGTGACTTTGTCTGCTATTAAATAAGCAGAATAAAAACCTACACCAAATTGTCCAATCATGGAAATATCTGCACCAGCTTGAAGTGCTTCCATAAAAGCTTTGGTACCAGACTTTGCAATTGTACCAAGATTATTTACCAAATCAGCTTTAGTCATACCAATACCAGTATCAATAATAGTCAAAGTACCATCATTCTTGTTTGGAATAATTTTAATAAATAATTCTTTGCCATTATCAAGCTTAGAAGGATCAGTTAAAGATTCATAACGAATCTTATCAAGGGCATCACTAGAGTTTGAAATAAGTTCTCTTAAAAAAATTTCTTTATTTGAATAAAAGGTATTAATAATCAATGACATAAGTTGAGCAATCTCTGCCTGGAATGCAAAAGTTTCTACATCTTCTGCTTTTGTTTCCATTTCTGTTGACATCTGTAAAAAAAAAAATTAGATTAGAAAAAAAAAAAGAAGTTAAACAATTTCAAATTACGCACATACACACATAAATTTCTATTTTTAATTTATATATGAAACATTTTATATATGCATTTCTTATTTTTTTTCACATGTGATATGCATTATTTTTATTATATAATAAATCGAATGATATTTCCGGATGTAATTTAAAAAAAAACAAATTTATACGAATAAAAAAATGTGACAGAATAGAGTTAAGATTAATTTTTTAATAAAACTATTAAATTTTAAATAACATTTAATAAGAACGTAAATCAATAAAAATTTACTGATTATTTATTGTTTAGGAAATATATTTTATGTAAACACATTAAATATTTTTTAATAATTAATTTAAAATAATTATACCTTGATATTCAGTTAAACCAATGTTAAAATACACCTCAAAAATTTATAAACACAGTATCGGACACTTTGCAGTTTATTGAATGAAGACGCGCATTGAGTAGGTTTGCTTTTATATACTCACTAAAATTCTAGAATGTTCTAGAATGTTCTAGAACATTTTTATCTCTTTGGATACCTCATATCCGGGAAAATTTAAATTCATCTCGATAATTTTTAATTAATAAATATTTTTTATCTATATTTTCAATATCGTTTATCTATTATAGAATAAAAATGCATAATTTTTTTTTAAAATATATAGATATTTGTTATTAAATAATGGAAATTGATTTGATTTTCTTTTTCACTTTAATGTGATACTTCCGGCATTTAGTTTTATAAGTCAAGGAAGCAAATAATATCAAAATTTTTATGACAAGTGAATAAATAATTTTTATCTTAACTCTTTTTGTTCGTTAATCATATCTATCAATGAATATCATTAGTTGGTATGTAAATTTAAATGTATTATTTATGATTATATTAAATAGAAATTATTGACCATTATATCGTCAAATATTATCGAACCATGTGTTCGATATTACGCGGCAAAAATTTTCTTCTCATCATATTATATTATTTTTAGCTTTTGATTCTTTTCAAATATATTTTCTTTTTATATATTAAGCGAAATTCCATTGTGTTAAAAATTTTTAATGTTTTAAAAATATATTATTAATATAATTTATGTATAAATGAGTATGATTTCTAAAGTTGATTCGTTCTTATTATTTTAATTTAATTTTTATTTCTATAGTTTTAAGAGAAAATTACTTGTATAATGAATCACATATATTTATTGTAGTTAAAAAAATAAGAAATGCATTATTAATTAATAAATTAATAAATTATCGGAAATAGGAAGCATTACATATAGAAATAAAATATATGTATATATATAAATTTTTTTATATATATATTTTTAATATTATAATTCATTAATTGAAATTAAAAAAAAAATTAAAAGTCGTAAGTAAATAAATTAGTAATTGAAAAAAAAAAAAGTTTTGTAAAAACTTCGAGAATCCAGTCGGTATATAATCATATTTCTTTATATATATCGGTATGTGGCGCCCCCATTGCATAGGTTATTACAATTTTATTTCTTATCGTTATTTGAAATGGAATTTAAATCTTATTAAACATGTACTTGGTTTGTACATTATAGTTTTCTTAGATAAACGTATTTTTGTTTACAATTATTATCTTAATTTTTCTTCTTATTTTAATTTCTGAAATATAAAAATTATTTTATTAAAATATTTTTTAATTTTACAATTTATAAAAAAGAAACATTATTACTTTTTATTTAATTATAATTTAAATTTATTTTAAAATAAAATAATTGATAAAACCATATAAAAGTTAATAAAAAATTTCTAAGAATACGAAATATGATTACATACGAAATCAATTGGAATAGCTTGAAAATTCTGAAATGTTCTTAATAGGTAATCGAGTCACGTGGCAATGACACTACTAGTAATTACAAATGCCTAACCCGTAGATTTTCATGCAGAATGAATACAAAAATCTTTGAACCATGTTAGATGTATTCTTTTTTTTTATATTCAATGTAACTCCAATGTAACGCTTGTTAATTCTACAGAAAAATTTTTTTTCATTGATATAATTAATTCTTAGAAATTTGAAAGATTTTTAAAAAATTCTTTTTATTTATTTTTATAAAAATTTATATTTATTTATAATATAACAAATTATTTATAATATAATATATACATAAATATTGGCATTTATTTTTAGATTCATCAATTTGTAAATAATCAATTTAGTCGAAAAATCAAAAAAAAATCGTTGAAGTTGATATGGCGAGGAGCTTAACTCCGGTAACCTAGCTTTATGATGTCGAATAATACTCATACAGCTAGATAACCAAAGAAAATGTCCGCGCCAAGATCTTCTTGTTGTCTTAAATAAATAAAAAAATAATTTCGATGAAAATTGATCATCTAAATCAATGAAATCGTCGAGAATTGAAAACCTGCTTTGCCATTTAGCAATATCGAATCTTTCTTGATACTGCAAATATCGGTAGACATGGATCAATCGTTAACGCCTTTTATACGAGAATGTCTCTTGATCGAGTCGCTATTTCCTGGTGCAGATAATGACATGCACGTGTCGATGGTGTCCCCACTCTGTAACAGAAAGACGGAGAAATCGGAAACCGCTTTACAACAATCGTCTCTTTGTCGCGTAACCACGAATTGATTGATACGCGCACAGCTTTGAAAAGTGAAACACAACCGTTGACATTTCGGAGTGAAAGTTAGTCGGTGAGACGGGCCTTCGGGATAGCCAGAGGCTACGAGTGTATATCTGAAAATTCTTCTCTCGTTACCAGGCCAAAGTCATTCTAAAAGTACGATATGAGAAATAAAATCGAATGCAGAGAAAACGGTAGGCATATGGTAACAATTTTTGATTAAGTGTCTTACTTGAACTGAAATGTAAATTTAATAATATGATGAAACGAGGCGATACGGTTTTGCTGAATCGTACAATGCGCAAGACATTATATCGTTACGTCATAATTACTTTGACTCAAACACGTATCTTGCGATATCATTCAGTTTCCTAGTTGCCATTTTCGTCTAAATGATTCGCGATTTTAATAAAAATTACGATTTAAAACTGCGTGTACGTGTCCAAAGATAAATTTCAGATTCTGAGAATGTCACGTTTAAATCGCGTAAAATGTAACTAGTGTTTTGCTCAAATTGATTAAATAGCTACTAATACGTGCAACAATCAAAACAGCTTCAGATATTAATAAAATTTCAGACAACTTATCAACACGGATTAAATTTTATTCGAGTCGTAATATCTTTTAAAATAAAGAAATTTATTTAAACTTTCTGGTTATAGATTAAAGATTGTAATATCCAATGCTTTTACTTCGGTCAATCCGTTAGTAGACCACTACGATGTTTCGTAAGAACTTCCATTTGGAGAAAGTTATGATCTCACGCTGCAGTGCACGCGTGGCTGGGTTCTATTTTATCAAGTTGTTCAACGCTTTCCGTGCTTCTTCCAATTTCTTTATCTGCTTAATTCTTCAATCTCGATATTAAATACGCGTATGATCTTGAGCAGAAATGTTATAAATTTTTCAAGAAGCTGCAAAATATGGAAACCGGACACATTTGGCAGAAATTTTATATTTAAATAACACGTTTATCGAATCTGATATGCAGTAAAATACGCCAGTTTTAGGAACGTTATCGAATTTCGCAAGAGATAACTTAAGAGATTGTTACGCGAGTTTTATCTGTTCGTTCGTTGATCCATAATTCTTGAGAATATAAAAATAAGATTTAATAAACGAATCTCTAACGATGAATATATTTAAAATTGGATAATGATTATCGCATTTAGAAGAAACGATCCATGAATTTTTCCTTACACGTGTAAGAATGAAAGTACAAAAGATCCTACATAAGAGAGGAGTAAAAGATCAAAACAAAAAAAAAAAAAAACAAAAAGAAAAAAGAAAAAAGAAAAGAAACCGTGGCACACTCACCTGCGAAATTGCCGGTTTATTTTTGGCCCGCTCTCATATCGGACGTAACAGGAAGGCTGACCAGAAAGATTTAGCCTCGATTCAACAATAATCCCCGACTTTCTAAAACTTAATTTTCTTTATTTTTTTCCCTCCATTGAAAACTGGTATAACGACAAAAGCAACTGAGAACTCTAGTCTAGTTCATTATTAGAGAATAGCTTATCCAAGTTGCGAAGTCCATCGTCACGTACCTATAGCAAATACGAGTGAGTACCTATCTTTCATGATAAGCCGGCCTTCGATTCTTTCCATTTGTTTGTCACGGTTGGTACAGCTGAACTATATTATTATTATCGTGCATTCTCTCCCATGAAAAGCGATAAAAAAAAAAAAAACTTTTGCGAAATACGAGAAAAAAAGATCATATAATTCGTTCCAAAGATCGAAAGAGCGCGGATAATTTGATAGCACAGATTTCTAATAAAAATCGGCAATAATTGTTGGAGGCGAAAAGCTATTTTAGGCATCGTATTCCAAGGCTAGTCGGTTTAACGGTCTAATTAACAGTTTACGATTTAATTAACAGTCCCGTGTCCAGTCGAGCCATTGCAGGGTCTTTGCACGATACGCCTTATTGACCGTACGTTTTATCGACAACTTTTCTGCTGCGTTCCTTAGTTTGTTGCGCAACGATCAGGGATCCGTGGTTCGTGGTTATCCGCGTCGACACGCGCGTCTTCCAAATCACCAACTTACCCCTCCAATGGAAAATCGCGAGACGTTAAGACGTTAATAACGTTGAATCTGTACCCAGTGGTAAATTTGTTTCCTAACGAGACAGGCGCTTTCAATGCGACTTCCAATCGTTTACGCAAACACAGCTGTACGAGTACTCGAGATAGCCGGGGCTAATGTCGCTTCACTTATAGTCATTATCACTTCAAGTGTAGTTATCGAGCTTGATTTAATTTTCC